GAAAATAACCAGTGGGTCCGAGCGTAACAATTAAAAAGAGTTAACCTCTTATATATGCCATCCTTTAAACAATAGTCCTACAGACAGTCCTACACCCTGCCCACAGGCCTTTAAACAATAGTCCTACAGACAGTCCTACACCCTACTCGCTGGCCTTGAAACAATAGTCCTACACACTACCCGCTGGCCTTGAAACAATAGTCCTCCAGACAGTCCTACACCCTACCCGCTGGCCTTGAAACAATAGTCCCACAGACAGTCCTACACCCTACCCGCTGGCCTTGAAACAATAGTCCTACAGACAGTCCTACCCCCTACCCGCTGGCCTTTATACAATAGTCCTACAGACAATCCTACACCCTACCCGCTGGCCTTTAAACAATATACATTGTGGGCCCGAATAGCGGCCAAGAGTGTCCGTGTCCCTTAGTTTAGACTAAATGCTATTCGAATGTCATTTGTTGTAGTTCACTAAAGAAGTAGGTTCACAAACATGCCGTCCATTCAATTATCTTTCATTTGATCCTTCATTTTCTCTTACAAAACCTACACTAATCTTTAAATATGTTTTTAATCAGCACAAACTCTCACTTTTGATACCCGGATCCGAATAGCCCCAGCCTCAAACAATAGCCCTACAGACAGTCCTTCACCATACCCGTAGCTCTTTAAACAATGGGCCCCAAAGACAACATTTCACCATACCCATGGCTCTTTAAACAATGGGCCCTATAGACAGTCCTTCACCATACCTGTAGCTCTTTAAACAATGGGCCCCACAGACAGCATTTCACCATACCCATGGCTCTTTAAGCAATGGTCCCTATAGACAGTCCTTCACCATACCCGTGGCTCTTTAAACAATGGGCCTACAGACAGTCCTTTATCATACCCATGGCTCTTTAAACAATGGGCCCCACAGACAGCATTTCACCATACCCATGGCTCTTTAAACAATGGGCCCTATAGACAGTCCTTCACCATACCCGTGGCTCTTTAAACAATTGGCCCTATAGACAGTCCTTCACCATACCCGTGGCTCTTTAAACAATTGGCCCTATAGACAGTCCTTCACCATACCCATGGCTCTTTAAACAATGGGCCTACAGACAGTCCTTCACCATACCCGTAGCTCTTTAAACAATGGGCCCCACAGACAGTCCTTCACCATACCCGTGGCTCTTTAAACAATGGGCCCCATAGACAGTCCTTCACCATACCCGTAGCTCTTTAAACAATGGGCCCCAAAGACAACATTTCACCATACCCATGGCTCTTTAAACAATGGGCCTACAGACAGTCCTTCACCATACCCATGGCTCTTTAAACAATGGGCCCTATAGACAGTCCTTCACCATACCCGTGGCTCTTTAAACAATGGGCCAACAGACAGTCCTTCACCATACCCGTGGCTCTTTAAATAATGGGCCCCATAGACAGCCCTTCACCATACCCGTGGCTCTTTAAACAATGGGCCAACAGACAGTCCTTCACCATACCCGTGGCTCTTTCAACAATGGTCCATATAGACAGTCCTTCACCATACCCGTGGCTCTTTAAACAATGGGCCTACAGACAGTCCTTCACCATACCCGTGGCTCTTTAAACAATGGGCCCTTTAGACAGCCCTTCACCCGTGGCTCTTTTTTGATTAATAATAAATAGGAGCCTCCCCACTAAAGAATAAAAAAACAACTATTTCTCCGAGTTCAACCATCTCGCATGACGCTCACTGCATTGCGGCTCTGTGACAGCCTTTTTCCCCCCACTCAGTACTCTTGATATAAGATGTGGAGTTAAGGGGGGAGGGTATGAAGAATAAGCAGGACACATTAGAGAGCAAAATATACGTAAGATATATGAATATATATTAACCATGTTAAATCCAGTGATGACCTGTAGAATTGTCTTGTGACCAGCTTTGAGTAAATGAGAGCGTCCAGTGATCACCTGTCTTGTGACCAGATGTGCTCACTCTGTGACCTAGTGGCAGATTTAGGGTTCAAGGTCGATCGGTCGGAACTCGGAACGTCCCAATCTAAGTTTACTTATACAATTGGAGTCGGAGCATTTTACCCGGGGGGGGGGGAGGGGGGGTCAAAGGAAATACGACATCGAAATTCGAAATTCGTATGCTCATTTTTACTGGTACAACATCCACACTTCACCCTCCCATTAGTATCGGTACAACATCCACACTTCGCCATCCCATTGATATCGGTACAGCATCCACACTTCACCCTCCCATTGGTATCGGCACAACATCCACACTTGACCCTCCCATTGTTAGCGGTACAACATCCACACTTCGCCCTTCTCTTGGTATCGGTACAGCATCCACACTTCACACTTCCACTGATATCGGTACAACATCCACACTTTACCCTTCTCTTGGTATCGGTACAGCATCCACACTTCACCCTTCCACTGATATCGGTACAACATAATTACGATACTTTTCTATCGCTACAACGTACTTGTTTAACTTGTCTTTTGGACAACAGAATTGGTGAAATCCATTTACTCTTTTATCGGTATAACACATTTGTTCTGAGGTTGCTTATTTTTCGTTACTTGCCCAAACCCTAACCTCTCCAGTTCAAACCCAAGTCTATCTGGTTGTTAAAGTTTACCTAAGAAGGGACTGATCAGGTAACTTGACATTTGAAAGGAAAGTTATTGCAAATACGCGCAAGCACTTTCAATCCGTCTAGGTCAGGGGTCGGGAACCTTTTAGTCTGAGAGAGCCATGGACACCACATACCTTGAAAAGTAAATCTATGAGAGCCATACATTATATTTAAAGTTACACACGTCACACCTAAAAAAAATCAAAACATACATAACATTTTCATAACTAAACAAAGTTTTTAAAAAAAATTCTTTAAAATTTTGCCATAATGGAATAAGATGTTGTATTATTAGAAAACTGTGTTTCATCGTACCTATGACTATGATACCTGAGGCAATTTCGACCTCAAATTAATGTTTTTTTTAAATTAATTAATTACAGATTTTTTTCAAAATAGACAATTTTAGATTGAAAAAAAAAAAAAAAAAAAAAAAAAAAAAAAAAAAAAAAAATTTAAAAAAAAAAAAAAAAAAAAAAAAAAAAAAAAAAGTGACGTCACAATTTTTTTTACCCCTCTTCCCACCACAAAATGTCACAAATTCCCGAACCCCCCCCCCCCCTTTTTTTTCCCCCTGAGCGTGACGTAATTTGCGAAAGACCCCTAGTTACTTCCAGAGGAAGCTTACCTTCTCAACAATGCTCACTGCAGGATTTAAGCGATCAGTGAGTCCACCAATAACATTGTCCAGTATGACACAGAAGACAGACTTTCTGAAATATGCTTCCCC